CGACATCTGTTTTTGATTGTATGATATGACGTCCCCGAAACCGAAAAGTGAGAAAATACTCTTCATGTATGCATGCAAGGAGGTAAAAGACACACACACAAGGTACTGAGCAGAGACCCGAACGGCTTTTTATGGCTTTTAATGTGAAGACAACCCCCCACAACAACAAGAAGAAGAACAATGGTTGCACAACCCTGCTAATAATCTATTTACGGCATATGCACATGTGAACTATCTACTACAGCAGCTGGTTGCACATTTACAACGAGGTAAACACACGCAAAAAGGGTGTGTTGTGTTATTTTTTGGGGGTAAATTGTTTTTCTCTTTTTCAGTTTTGGGAACGCAATATAATAAAGTACGGCATGACCGACATCCGCTCGCTGCTCAAACGCAAGGTTACTGACTCCCGCTCGCTAAAAAAACACGTGTGGTGATGAGTCGTACTGCAGCGGTTGGGTGCACATTAGTACAGGGGCCGCGTTCCTCGAACGTTAAACGCATGCATTTTGATTTCCCGACCTTTTTTTTTTTTTTTGCGGCAGGATCACATGGAAGAAGTGGTTCCGCTGGTGGAGACGATCGCCATCAATCTTCCCGAAGAAGTTACGCCGCATGTTCCCACCGTGGTTGTGCCGCTTCTGCTCAAGTCCCTTCAGCACCCGACGTGAGTATTGTAGAGGTACTATAATATGATCAGATGGACCTTTTGAAGCCGCAATCAAACCATGAGACTAGACTAGTCAGCCGCTGACTATTCGAAGACCTTTTGAAGCCGAAATCATAGAATTAGTCTAGATTAGTCAGCCGCTGACTAGTGGAAGGCCTTTAGAAACCGGAATCAAAGCATTAGCTTGATTTCTCGCGAAGGCAGTCAACGAAAACGTGTCATTCGATGTTGCGTTATCCGCTTCGTCGTGGAGCAGTTTCGAGCTTTTGACAAACGGTCCGGAGGTTGGTTGGTTGTAGCCTTCGGGAGTAGTAGGAAGCCAGTTTGTTGTTGTGTCTGTGGTCGTGCAGTCGCCATTATTTTTCGGTGGGCGATGACGATGATGCAACGCTGTGGCGGTCGTGTCGATTTTGGTTGTATTGTATCGTGTTGCTTGTCGTCGTCGTTGGTTTCTGTGTACAGGAGAGTTGCCCTGTGAATTGCCAAGTCTTGCTTTGGTTGAATGATGACTGTGGGCAATGACGGTGAGGTTTCGGGGGGTGTTTTTTGTGTGTGATGACGATGTGGTGGTTGTAAATATAAATATATATATAGGGTTAGGGTTAGGGTTAGGTATATATATATGTCGTTTTTGTCTGTGTATGATGCGGGGCTGTGGAGTATGCTCCGGTGGGGCCGTGGAGTATACACTCCGGCAGTACATGTACCCGTCTCGTGCTCGTGCCGACGACGAGACAAGGTATTCTTTTCGTTGACTCACTCCCACGTCCTCTTCTTGGGCCATCGTAGGCAAAGTAGGAAGAGACGATCGGCCATCAGTAACGGTCCTGTGGTAACAAAACTCCGTCCTCTCCAGAGGACGCGTGGTCAATGGTCTTAACAACTAAGGCATACGAAACAACACGACCCCCCCCCCCCCCCCCACCGGTACTTTTGCCCCCGACAAAGAAAGACATGCAAAAACAAACTGC